CAGAGACACCTTCAGAGACACATGCAGAGACACCTGCAGAGACACCTGCAGATACACTTGCAGAGACACCTGCAGATACACCTTCAGAGACACCTTCAGAGACACCTGCAGAGACACCTACAGAGACACCTGCAGAGATATCTGCAGAGACACATGCAGAGACACATGCAGAGACACCTGCAGAGACACCTGCAGATACACCTTCAGAGACACCTGCAGAGACACCTGCAGAGACACCTTCAGAGGCACCTTCATAGACACCTACAGAGACACCTTCAGAGACACCTGCAGAGACACCTGCAGAGACACCTGATTGAGATGGTCAGCTCAGTTTAGGGCTGTGACTGCTCTGTTGAATTTATCTGCTTTGCTCCAGATTCAAATCATTTTAAATGTTAACACCAGACGTGACTCGTGTGACGTCCTTCTGTGCCACATTACATTATTTACAGAACAATGTATGACAGGTAAGATATTATTGTTCTTTATGTTTCCACAGAACCTCACCTCAACAGCTCTGAACTATTTATTTTACTTTTTTCTACAACTAATTTATGGTAACCACTTCAACATATCTGAACCTGATAGCATTCCTTGGAGTAACAAGCACTGTCACTAAGGATAAATGCCACATTTTATAAGTTTAGGAACTCAGGTTCAGAGCTGCATGTTTGTTTGCCAGTTGTACGTCTCCTCACAGTGGTTCGTCCCGCGGGCTCAGTGAGAACCATAGTTGACACTGAGCGTTCTCTTGTGTGGCAAACAGGTCCACGGCCGCTCTGCCAAAATTTCTGCCACATCTGAACCATCGGCTCAGGATGGAGGTTCCAGTCACCATGACGTGGACCGCCCCTGGACATCACATCCACTCCTGTGTTCAGAACACCGGGGATGTACACTGCTCTGATGGAGAGCAGATTTGGTGTGCCCAACACAGCAGCCATCTCGCAATGTGTAACATTTGGGCTGAGCGCTGAGAGATTATTACAGCCTCATATAAAATCAATAATGATGATGATATCGGAACTGGATCGGTATCAGTCGATATCCAGATTTAGGTATTGGGATCAGATCCGAAGTAAAAAAAATGTGGATCGGTGCATCCCTAGTTATAAGACCAAGTTTGTTGCAGCTTCTCAGACTGATGGAGTCTTTTGGATGAACGAAGAAACGTTTCAACAAAAAGAAACCGTCCAGAGGACCTGACAACTTTGTTGGATAACGTCACTCATATATTGTGATGCTCACAAGTCAAAAAGGTAAATGGACTGTACTTATATAGCGCCTTTCTATCTTATCAAGATACTCAAAGCTCTTTACACTATAATGTGTGTCCTCATTCACCCATTCATACAGCACTCTACTAGATCTATACAAATAATAATCAGAGCTTTATCACATTCATACACTGATGGGACACACATCAGAGGCAATGAGAGGTTCATTGTCTAGCCCAGGGACACTTTGGCATGTGACTGCTGGTGGAATCAAACTCCCAACTCTTGCATTGGAGGACGACTGTTCTAACCACTCAGCCACAGCCGCCCACAAAAATGTGGTTTAAGTAATAAAACTAAAAGTTGACACTGAAAGTGTGTTTTACCTTTATATTCAATTTTAATTAAATTAAATTGAGTTTATTTATAAAGCACCAAGTCACAACAGAAGTCATCACAGGGCACTGAACAGAAACATTCATATATAAAAATAATAGTTTAACATTATTTATCTGAGGAGCAGACTGCTTTGAGTTTAACTTCATCACAGAACTCTCATCTTGAGCAAGCATGAAGGAGACAGTGGAAAGGAACAACTCCCTCATGAGGAAAAAACCTTTAGCAGAACCAGGCTCAGGACAAGCAGCCATCTGCTTCGACTGGCTGGGTTTGGTAGGAATAGATACACAATGGCAGGTCAAGAATAATGTTAAGATAGAAATAGTATCAAATGAAAACTATTCAATTTTAGCAAATTATTTAAGAAAATGAGGTCAGTTTGTCCTCTAGTAGTCTAAGCCTATAGCAGCATAACAAACCAACACTAACTATAGGATTTATCAAAAAAGAAAGTCTTAATCCCAGTCTTAAAACTGGACAATGTGTCATCCTCACAGACAGAAACTGGAAGTTGGTTCCACAAGAGAGGAGCCTGATAACTGAAAGATCGTCCTCCCATTCTGCTTTTGGAAACTCTAGGAATCGCAAGTAAGCCTGCAGTCTGAGAGCAAAGTGCTCTGTTGGCAAAATATGGAACAATAAGATCTGTAATATAAGATGGAGCTAGGTTGTTGAGAGCTTTGATTGTTAGAAGTAGGATTTTGAATTCAATTCTGGACTTGACAAGGAGCCAATGTAGAGTCAGAGTCAGAGTCAGAAATTCTTTATTGTCATTCGTACCTCATGTGGTACATGTGGTGGAGCGAAATTATGTACACAGGGTCCCAGTTACATCCAACAATAAAATGTATAAGAAAAACAGTAATAACATCTAAGATATGAACTAAGAAAAACATCAACTAAATATACACTAAGCACTCATAACATAAAAACATTGAACATCAGCACAAACATGAACATGAGTCTGTGTGAGCGGATGTGCATGCATGAACACATCAACATTGAAACAGATCAGCAGCAACATGAAACAGATCAGCAGCAACATGATATGGTTTTTCACAGTGATTATTCTAGTTAGAGATTCATGAGTCTAACAGCCTCAGGGTAGAAGCTGTTCCTCAGTCTAGTGATTTTACACTTAATGCTTCTCAACCTCCTTCCTGAGGGGAGTGGGGCAAAAAGTGTGTGTGCTGGGTGAGTGAGGTCCTTCACGATGCAGGTGGCCCTCTTCCTGCATCTGGAGGTGTAGATGTCTGTGATGGTGGGGAGGCTGACTCCGACAGTCTTCTGTGCAGCCTTCACCACTCTCTGCAAAGCTTTTCTTTCTGCAGTTGTGCAGCCTCCATGCCACACATTGATGCTGGAGCACAGGATGCTCTCCACTGCACACCTGTAGAAGGAGGTGAGGACTGAGCTTCCCAGACCAGCTCGTCTCAGCCGCCTGAGGAAGTAGAGTCTCTGATGAGCTTTCTTGATCAGGCTGGTGGTGTTGTTGCTCCAGCTGAGGCTGTCATTCATGTGCACGCCCAAGTACTTGTAGCTGGAGACCACTTCCACTGCAGAACCTCTTATGTTCAGGGGGGTGTAGATGTTTTTTGTTCCTTCTGAAGTCCACAATCATCTCATTTGTCTTCTTCACATTGATGTGAAGGTTATTCTCTTTGCACCAGCTCTCCAGGTGTTCCACCTCCTGCCTGTAGCTGGACTCATCATTGTTTGTGATGCATCCCACCACCGCTGTATCATCTGCAAACTTTACAATGTGACAGCCTGGATGAGTAGCTGCACAATCATACGCGAGCAAAGTAAACAGGAGGGGGCTCAACACACATCCCTGAGGAGAGCCAGTGCTGAGGGTTATGGTGGAGGAGGAGAAGTTGTGGATCCTCCCTAACTGTGGTCTGTTTGTTAAGAAGTCTAGTACCCAGTTGCAAATGGAGGGGCTTAGTCCTAGTGTGGATAGTTTGTCCATCAGGGTTTGGGGGATCATGGTGTTGAAGGCGGATGTGAAGTCCACAAAGAGCATACGGACGTAAGAGTTTTTCTGCTCCAGGTGGTTGTACAGTATGTATCATTTTATAAAAAAAAAATTTTATCTCTCTTTAAAAGCTACATCTTTAGACATTTTCACAGATAATAATGTTGGTCTGAATGCATTAACTTTAATACAAAGTTACATTTTAGATACAAATATCCCAGGAGGTGTAGGCATGGTACTCGAGGGGGGTGGTGGTGCATGTCCCACAGAACTGGTCACATGTGAACATGTATGGACATTTGCTACGATCTTTATGGCAGGGCGAGCAGTTCCACTGGGATGGCCATCATCCTTGGATCATAGTAAAGGAAACACTGATTAAATAATATTTGAGCTCTTTATAGACACAGTTTGTGTCAAAGCTCATCTGCTTCTACAAGTTTCCAGGCTGCTTAAAGAGCTCTGGCATATGGCCTAACTCCTGTCAGATTCATGGCATCAGCAGTGATTATATCCTGCTCACATCACGTCTCCAACCAAACATGATCTGTTGATCCAAGGAAAAGGTAGCAAAGATAAATATAGTTATTATTCTCGTTTGTGATTGATCATTTTGGCTGTTGACTATATCACAAGCTTGTTAGACAGCTGAGATAAACACTTGTATTTTAAATTATTCCCAAACAAAGACTACCCGACACAATTTTGGGTAAATCTGAAAGCACATACGAGTGAAACCACAGACACATGAAGACACGGCACGGCTAGGCGGCAGCTTCCTGTTCTTACCTTCTTTTATTCTCTTTGGCCGTGGGGTTTTAACGGCCCCCCTAAGAGCTGCTTCTAGGATGGAAATCACAAGAAGAACATTAACTCCTCTCAGAGGTAATTTATATAAAACCAGTTAAAGTTTGTCATGACAAAACCAACCAAAGTTCTTTAAACTGGCAACAAGTCATGTCTAAATAATATCAGAAAGCACAGTTTGTGCAAGATTTTTTCTGTTCTAACCAGTTTGTTCGTAGGGCTCTTTTGTGAAGGAATAGAAAAAGGTGGTGATCCAGTTAAAGAAGCCCACCTAGTTTCATCCACAAGTCCCTCAGTTTACCCAGGAGGAGCCCTGATAAGGTTTTAAGCCCAGTTGGTACCCAGACATGTGCCCACATCCGTTCACTGTAGGTGACATGTTTTTTTGACTTTATGACAATATGGAAAAACTTGGGGGAGGGATGTTGCAGAGGCTAGAGAAGGCGGGCCTCCGATTGAGAGGTCACTGGTTCAAATCCCGTGACTATTACAACAAAACTGAGGTAGGAAATGTGCAGCACCCTCGTCTGCCTCACTGTGGGCACTTGTACTAGACCTTTAACTCCCCCAGCTGCTCCCCTGGGGAGCCATGTGGGCTGTGGTAGCTTGGTGGTTACACCAGGAAGAGCATCTGGCGTAAAGACTAAATAATTAATTAAAAAAATAATAATTGCCAAGTCTTTGTATGAGTTTCTTCATTGTGCCAATCCCTGAAGATGAGAGCCAGAAAAAGACAGAATGAAAGAGCTGAGGCTCGTATTAAAAGTCAGCATGAAGACATTCTGAAAAACTTTGCCGGGGAAAAAAAAGCCCATGGATGAATCTGTAGTATGCTAAAGGCTAGGTTAGCTTGGTGAGCTTCAGAGCTCCACTACAGTCATATTGTAATAATGGGTTCTCTCTTTTTCAAGCTACTTGACAGACATGTGACAGAGGTACTGTGTTGTCGATGGTTTAATCAGTGACATGAGACGTTAATTTTCTTTGACCCATCAAAATAAATGTGGTCATTTATTAACAGAATCAAAATTTAACATCAAAACATTGTACACTTGATTATACTGATCGGCTCTGATTAATAAAACTTGGCACGTTTTAATTAATAAAAACAACAGACATTTCTGAAGATATCTGGATTAATTACTGGCAAGATAGAAGAGTTTTAAAGATGGGAAATATGGAGGAGTTTAAATGTAGAGAAAATGTGGAGGAAGATGCAAGTCTGTAGACCAGAACAACACGCTCCTTTCAAGCGCAGCTCGCTGTGGTACACTTGTAGTGAAGCCAGTGACGACTCTTTACCTTTGCGGAGAATGGGTCAGCTGCGGTCAAGAGGTCCCTGGCACGCTACCTTTCAGCGTCTCCTCAGGACGGCTGCGACTCGGCAGAAGTCGTGAGATACTCCGTTCCACAGAACAAACTTCCTCAGCAGTTATAGGGCATTCGCCGGGTGGAGCCACAGCGAGGCGTCGTGGCTCCTGCAGAGATGGATGACTCCATCAGCCTGGAACACTGAGTCCGAAGTTCCACTCAGCAGTGGAAAAACTCTAGAACTCCAGAACTACTCCACAGTACTCCAAGAGACTCAGAAGAACTCCGAGGAACTCCAGCCGAACTCCATCAGAACCAGAATAACTCACTCAACTCCACGGAACTCACGGAACTTAATGGAACTAGGAATTGTCGACTTTTAAAGAGTTCTGCTTCCGGTCACTTTTAGGAAGTCCTGATTGGTTGAAGGAACCAACAGAGGTGTGGTTTTAGTGATGTCAGAGGGTCATTACAAGTCAAGAAAACAACGGAAATGTTTAGGAACAGACAGAGAAAGTTTTGACGAAGTGAAAAACACTGCAGGTGCCAGTTCTCTTATTTACTGTCTGAGAGGTTTAAAAACACGACAGCTTGTTCCAATAACTTGTTTTCGACTGTCTCCGACTTTTGACCGACATCACTCTTCTCATTTCAGACAGAAGATCAAAAATGCATAATTACTTTGTAAAATAGACATTTAACTTGATTTGTACTTTGAATGAGGATTAAAAAATCATTAATACTGTTTCACAGTTGATTTAAAATGAGTGGTTCACTTCAACATTTAAAAATGGTATAAACTAAAGACACTTTTGATTATCAAGATATTGTAAAATAGTAATGATAATATAAAAAGAGAGTGTTCTTTCAATTGATTAGTTCAGGATACAATTAGAAAGTCTCTGGATGAGATAATTTGTATTTCTGGATTCAAATCAATGAAATAACAGTTCCTGTCCCATGAAGGTCTTCAGAGGCAGGTTTGATCGGAGGCCTAGTTCACTACAAATCCCATAAAACAAGTTAAACATGGACTTCAGTAAAAACAACACTTGAGTTTCTTTGTTTAAAACAGTTTTGTGTCATGAGAACGATGGAGACTCATGGTATGAACTGAGCAGTGTATACATTTTGCTAAGGGTTCCCTTGGTATCAGACCTGCACTCCAAAATCTTAGCTACAAAATGTTTAGACGTGTACAAAGGAAAACAATCAGAGTTAGATCTCACAAAATGTCTCAGCTGTAGATATCTAAAAAAAACTGTGACATGTGAATATTAAACTTCTGTACCAGCTGTTCAAAAGAGGAAAAACTACCATTAACATAGAGATCACACAGTGAATGCACCCCTCCCAAGACCCAGGTGTCAAAAGCTGTATCAGCTACTGAGTGAGTAAACGTATGATTATTTGACACAGGTGTCAAAAACAGTAACTCTGTAGAGTTAAATATCCTGAATCCTGAACTGATTCCAAACCTTAACTGCCCAGATCACAATTGGGTTAATCAATATCGTTCTGATATTGATTGTTTAAAGGGAAGCCGGGAGCAGAGTAATGCAGAAGAGGAACTGGATTTAATTGTTGTATTAAATTGTATTAAAAGTTCTGCCTTAAAGCTATAGCCAATGGTTCAATTGCTAACACAAATAGAAGTGGTGAGACTGGGCACACCTGTCTTGTACCCCGCTGCATTTCAAAATAGGAAGATACATTGCAGTTGGTGCGGACCGCCACCATTGGGGAGGTATATATCAGCTTCACCCATTCATCCATCCATCCATTCTCTTCCGCGTATCCGGGGTCGGGTCTTGGGGGCAGCAGCCTAAGTAGGGAGGCCCAGACTTCCCTCTACCCAGCCACTTGGACCAGAAATTCCAAGGGAATCCCAAGGCGTTCTCAGGCTAGCCGAGAAACATAGTCCCTCCAGTGTGTCCTGGGTCTTCCTTGGGGTCTCCTTCCAGTGGGACATGCCCGGAACACATCACCAGGGAGGCGTCCAGGAGGCATCCTAACCAGATGCCCGAGCCACCTCAACCGGCTCCTCACGACATGGAGAAGCAGCGGCTCTACTCTGAGTCCCTCCCGGATGACTGAGCTTCTCATCCTATCTCTAAGGGAGAGCCCAGATACCCTGCGGAGAAAACTCATTTCAGCCGCTTGTATCCGAGATCTCGTTTTTTCGGTCACAACCCAAAGCTCATGACCATAGATGAGGGTGGGAACGTAGATCGACCAGTAAATTGAGAGCTTTGCTTTTTGACTCAGCTCTCTCTTCACCACGACAGACCGATACAGTGCCCGATACAGTGCCCGCTTCACTGCCGACACTGCACCTATCTGCCTATTGATCTCACGCTCCATTTTCCCCTCATTCGTGAACAAGACCCCGAGATACTTAAACTCCTCCGCTTGGGGCAGGACCTCCTCCCCGACCTGGAGAGGGCATGCTACCCTTTTCCAGCTCAAGACCATGGCCTCAGATTTGGAGGAACTGATCCTCATCCCGGCTGTGTCACACTCAGCTGCAAACTGCTCCAGCGAAAGCTGTAGATCACGACCTGATGAAACCAGTAGGACCACATCATCTGCAAAAAACAGAGAAGCAATCCTAAGGCCACACCTTGGCTGCGCCTAGAAATTCTGTCGATAAAAGTTATGAACAGAATCGGTGACAAAGGGCAACCTTGGTGGAGTCCAACTCTCACTGGGAACGAGCCCGACTTACTGCCGGCAATGCGGACCAAGCTCTGACACCGGTCGTACATGGACCTAACAGCCCATATCAAAGGTCCTGGTACCCCATACTCCCAGGTTAACCCCCACAGGGCTCCCCAAAGGACATGGTCCAATGCCTTCTCCAAGTCTACAAAGCACATGTAGACTGGTTGGGCAAACTCTTACGTACCTTCCAGTACCCTGCTGAGGGTGTAGAACTGGTCCAGTGTTCCACGACCAGGATAAAAACCGCACTGCTCCTCCTGAATCTGAGGTTTGACTATCCAACAGACCCTCCTCTCCAGAACCCCTGAATAAACCTTACCAGGGAGGCTTAAGAGTGTGATCCCCTGGAGTTGGAACACACTCCACGGTCCCCCTTTTTGAAGAGGGGGACCACCACCCCAGTTTGCCAATCCAGGGGAACTGCCACCGATGTCCACGCAATATTGCAGAGTTGTGCAAGCCAACACAACCCCACTACATCCAGAGCCTTAAGGAACTCCGGGCGAATCTCATCCACCCCTGGGGCCCTGCCACCGAGGAGCTTTTTGACCACCTTGGTGACCTCAGCACCAGAGATTGGAGAGCCCGACCCAAAGTCCACAGGCTCTGCTTCCTCAGTGGAAGACATGCCAGTGGGATTGAGGAGGTCTTCGAAGTACTCTGCCCACCGACCCACAACATCCCAAGTTGAGGTCAGTAGCACACCACCTCCACTATAAACAGTGTTGGTGGCATACCACTTTCCCCCCCGAGACGCTGGATGGTGGACCAGAATCGCCTTGAAGCCGTACGGAAGTCATTCTCCATGGCTTCTCCAAGCTCCTCCCACACCTGAGTTTTTGCCTCAGCGACCATCTGAGCCACATTTCACTTGGACTGCTGGTACCCATCAGCTGCTTCTGGTGTCCCACAGGCCAAAAAGGCCCGATAGGACTCCTTCTTCAGTCTGACAGCATCCGTCACCATCGGTGTCCACCACCGGGTTCGAGGGTTACTGCTGCGACAGGCACCAACAACCCTGTGGCCACGGCTCCGATAAGCCGCCTCGACAATAGAGGCGCGGAACATGGCCCACTCGGACTCAATGTCCCCCGCCTCCCCCGGAACGCGTTTGAAGCTCTCCCGGAGGTGGGAGTTAAAGCTCTGTCTCACGGGAGACTCTGCCAGACGTTCCCAGCAGACCCTCACAATACGTTTGGGTCTGCCCATCAGCTTCACCCATGATACAAATTTAGGACCAAATTTAAATAATTTTAAAGTCTCAATGAGGTAATCCCACTCCACCCGGTCAAATGCTTTTTCTGCATCTATTGAAATAATGACTTCATCGCAGGTGTGCTCGGGTGGGCCAGGAGTGTACAGTACGACAAGTAACCACCTAACATTGAAGAAAGCCTGACGGTTTTTAACAAACCCGGTCTGATCAGGCAAGATAATAGTGGGGACCACACGCTCCAGTCGTTTTGCCAGGATCTTTGCAAGGATTTTAACATCAGTATTTAAAAGCGAGATAGGTCTATATGAACTACAGTTCAGAGGGTCTTCTTAGGCATCAGCGAGATTACAGCATGGCACATGGTCAGTGGCAATGTCTGTGCAGCCAGTGAGTCCTCAAACACAGACATCAATAAAGGTGAGAGTAGACTTGAAAATGTATTTAAATACTCAGATGGGAAGCCATCTGGTCCAGGGGATTTCCCATTTTGCATATTGTTGATTGCAGAGTTAATCTCGGCCACAGAGAACTCCTTCTCCAGGTCCTCAGCGATAACAAGAGCCACTGAAGGAAACCCAAGATTTTCTAAAAAGTTTTCCATGTCCGATACGCCAGCTGTTGACTCGGTTGTGCACAATGACTGATAAAATGAACTAAAACATGTATTAATTTAAGCATTATCATGGCATACAGCTCCCTGTTCATTATTTATTGCTGTAAATGTTTGATTGGCTGACTGTCGCTGCAACTGATGTGCAAGCAGGCATAAAAAAAGTCTTTAATCTAAATGTGCAGCTGAAAAAACTCAGAATATCTATATTTATTTCTTATTACTTATTTATGTTTTTAGTATTGTAAAAGGGGTTTTATTTTTGTTTATTATTTTCTAACTTTTTTCAGTTTTGACAAAAATGGATCATTCATGATCAGGTATCGTTGTTTTCTGTCAGTTTTTAGTCCTGCAGAAAGAGATTTTTAAACAAGCTAATAAAGTGAAAACAAACAAAAAGCATCTGCAACACAACCACGCTCCTCACCTAAACACCATCCATCCATAAATACATACATGTGTCCATACATTCATCCACCAACACAGACACACAGAGACACATCCATCCATCCACACCCACACACACCCACACACACGCACACACACACACACACACACACACACACACACACACACACACACAC